ATATCCTGGATATTGACTTTTACACAATCATACAGTTTAACAACCTCATATTATTACACTACACTGGTGCATTTTTATGTGGCTGCCACTTTGTGGATGGAAAAAGAGAAAATGGACCAGAATTTTTTTAACATAATTTGAATAAAATGTTCACATTCGCAAGCCCCGAGAAAAAGAAAATTAAATTGGATCAGAAAAAGTATGAATGCAATTCAATAAATGCATACATAGATGCTGTTAATACCTCAACCGTACAAGAACAAAATATTTTTATATTATATATATATATATATATCGTCGGCCAAATGAGAAAACCGCGTAACTCCATTTTGGGGAATTTTACAGGAGACAAGAAAAACTGTTTCCTATTTTCCTTTTTTAATATAAAACAATTGTTAAAACCTTAAATATGAGTAAAAATACTTTGTTTTTACCATGTAAAGGGAAAACTTAAAAAAATATTGTTTTCTAGTATTAAATGGAGTTACGCGATTTTCCGTCAAAAAAATCTGTGTAATTTTGGATATAGGTGCTTTTCCAGTTATAAAAAAACTACTAGAAGAATCTAAAAATTGAAAGAAAAACTAAATATTTATTAAAAAAATAAAAATGAACTGAATCCTAGATCATTTTGAAGGTAACTAGGTATAAAAAAGTATTAAATTTCTTTGAAAACGCTTACCTAATAACAACAAACGAAACAGTGGTTGCAAAACTAAAATCTACATTAATAGATCCTTAAACTAAAAAATTCACTCGTATACAGTCGATAATTGGAACCTTGGGGGTTTTGCGCTGAGGTAATAATAGTGGGTTACGGAGCGTAGTGTTAGTCACTCTGCCTCCCTGGAATTCTTTCCAGACACGGTTCGGGGCTAAATTAAGCGGCTCTATATATATTTAACATCGCAGATGCTCTAAAAGCCGGATCATTGTTATTACTTTATTACCTCGATTATTACAACTCCATAAGGCTTCGATGGGAATGTTCTAAAAAGCGAATTTTTTAGCTGGGGGCTTCTCTTGGGGGAAAATCTTCGTTAGTGCAGATTATGTAACAGAAGGGAGGTCTAAAAGCGAACTACTTCGGATAAAGGCATTTATTTATTACGGAATTGGGCTTTTCTATGCGCAAATGTTCCTTGAAGCAAGTTCCTTGTGAGCGAGATTCCCGTGGTGGAGGTGCATCTTCCTTGAGTGCAAAATTGTGTGAGCGGAACTTTCATGGTCGGATTTCTAGGGAAAAAAAGTTACAGAAGCAAATTTTCGTGAAGGTACGTCTTGTTGGGGATACATTTTCGAAAGTGGAGGGTGTACTGAAGCGACAGTAACATCGTGACGATTTATGGCATTAGTCGAAAGTCGCGTGCGGTATTTTGAATAGTTACTTACGAGTTACGTCCTTTTAGGTAATGGGTTATCGGTCATTCTGGCTGATTATAAGATTTTTAACTAGTTAGTTAGCTCTAAGCTAACATACCCAGATTGAAAAAGCGAATGGTGCAAGGTGGAAAAAAACTACACGCTTTTTTTACCTAAAAAAGGCGCCTGTAGCAAAATCTGCAAAGTACGTTATTGAACCGTTAGAATTATGTCATCTGCATATCCAACATCAAAAGAGAATATCAGACCTAGCCATTCGGAATAAAAATGTTTCTACACATATAACTATTTATTCAATTGGAAAAGTAAATCTGTAGTAGGATGAAAAATGAAACGCATTTCCATTGCACATTTTATAGAAAATAAAATTCGATTTACGGACAAGAAACAGAATGGAAGCTTTACTGTTACTGGCAGAAGTTTTAAAATAAGAAGAAAGTATTTATAAAGTTAAAATTACTCGTTTCCATTATAACTTTTAATTATCTAAAGATTCCAAGTCCAAACAATCTGAAACAATAATTTTCACATTTATACTGCAACGCTGTATGCGACAAGATAATAATAGACTTATTATTTCCATTAACCTGGATTGAAGCTTGAATATCTACCCGCGGAGTACCCCGCTACATGCAGCTGTTTTAATTAGAAATTGATATGCGTATTATTTTTAATGAATTCGGATCAGATGCAAAGTCTTTGTTATGTAGACGAGGTTCACCGTATGTATCTGACAGAGATTCAAAGCTTTTTCAGTATCAAGTGCAATTTGGGAGGTTTTAAGGCGAAAGTCCTTAGGATCGGGTAACATTGGAGACATGTTCCTTTGCTTACGAGACAACTTTCAAATTAAAATGAAACTTTATATGATTACTATGGTAATATACACTCTCTGTATCGAAAGCTTAAAAATTTAATGGAATAGGACGATAATTTTGTGTCGTAGGTATGATTTTCACTTACAAGAACTAATTTATAGAAACCAGTTAGTGATGTTATGAGGAGCTTAAATGCAAAACAAAGGAATTCGAACTTGGCAAATCAAAAAGTGTCAACTTATTTGGAAACATCAGCTCTGGAATAATACATATTTTGAACAAAACCACCCCATGAGTTTTTCTCTTATTCGCAACTGTTTTAACCAATGTTTTAATACATGCTGAATACCGGACTTCCAAACTTCCTTTATCTTTGAATTTTAATAGTTTGTTATTGTGGATAGCGTTTGTAGCGATGAAGAATCTCAAGCCCTCGTTCATCAACCACGCCATATTTGGTTCATTTGAAAGTTGGTAGTAAATAAACAATGTTCAGTTATTTTTTTAAGAATTTTTGGATATAATGATTCCGATCAGAAAAATGCACCATTAGTAAACAAATCAATTAGTCCCTTTCTCATTCTTCCTATCCTAATAGCGCTTAAACTGGTAAGTTTTATAAAATTCGATTTAAATTAAGCAATCTTTGCAAGATTTGGCAAGGAATTTTTGAAATTAGAATTGTAATTTTGAACATTACAGTAATATTCGTTGTTTATTAAGAAAGTGATCCTTAAAGCAAAAGTACCTATCTAATATCAGTTTAAAATGTCGTTTATTCCACATCAAGTGTAGAATTACAAAATGCGTATTTCGACTTTTCTCGACCATTCCCTACTACCTGCTACCGGGGTCAGAAAACTGACCCTCCATCCTCGCATGCACTTTTCTATTCACTTTCTCGCTTTCGTTATTCTACATCAACTAACTTAAAACTAGACCGATGACCTCCTGCGCGTACCCTTTTTCGATACTACACTAGGCCATCCTGATGGAGGAACATCTGCGCTCAGATGTCTTCTTCATTGATCATCCACAACTTCATGACATCGGCCTTTGTAGACGTTTGTTATGGCCCCACATGCTCATCCACTTTGTCTACGATGTACCGATCGTTTCGCAATGTGCGCATTTCTCGATATGGCCCTAGGAATTTTCCTTTCAATTTTAAACCCGTACCGGGTTTGCGTACCCTTTATATAGCCACTAGTTATTCGCTCTCCTACTGTCTCGCATCCTTTCTAAATTGTTGAAATTTTCCTGTTTCCTTCTTGCCTCTCTATAATAGAAGAAATAGAAGAAAGGGTTCTTTGCTTCTTCACGTAATTCACACCGATTCTCCTACAACTGCTTAGTGCATTCTGCGTCAACTACCTCCCTGATTTGCGAATCTTCTTTAATCCATATCTCGAACCATACGAGCAGCTTCCCTGTACTTCTATTTATGATGGCATTCAAAAACTTTTGCACCTTAACCATCGTTAATGGTATATGGGTTCTGTTCATTCTTTCTACCTGCCCGTTTCCCCTCGGCACTCTGCTGAATATGCTTTCTTTTGCGCAGTATACCTTGAAAGCACATAAGGTCTTCGCGCATCTGTTTACCGAATATAATACATTTTTTAGCAATCATATATGTAACCAAACACATTGGAAATGCTAAAAAATGTATTTCACTCGGTAAACAGATGGACCAAGGTTGACCTTGTGTGGGATCTTAGAAATAAAACGCTATTCACCTGTCCGAAATTATTCTTTGTGGAGAGCAGCTTGTTATTGTTGTGGCGGTCAGGTATCCAACGACGTGTTCCCTTGGTTCAAAGTTAAAAACCATTCTTGTTTACCCGACTTCCGATCAGCTAAGATGAAATCTAGACAGTTTGCTCTCTCTCTTTCTCTGGCAGCTCCTCTGGTTTAACAATAGCTTCTGTTTTAGTAACCCCAAAGTGTACCCGCGTATGTGTTTGCTTGACTACCTGATTCTGCTGATAAATGGACTAACTGGGATATACCCTAGGGTGCCATTGTCGGGAGGGGGTGGGGGTAATTACATTACATACTCATCGGTGCACCTTACGGCACCTATGAAGCTAAGTGAAAAACTAACCCTTTTGATTCAAAGTTAAAAATCACAACCGGTTGTGACACGGCCACCCTGTTGCACTAAACACCGCGGCCACTGGCAAAATAAACAGAGTGGAATTTCCCGTTATCTTGGCCTTACTGCATTAAAATCGCCCATACTCATCTATGGACGCGTCTGTCTGTAATTCTGTCTTAACCCCTATCCTATATGATTTTAACACGGGGCAATTTGTGAGTACCGTTTTTAATGTCTCAAACGCTTCGGTTTCTCTATTCCCAACCAGGAACTTGGCCTCTTTTTTAACAAATGTGTTAAAGGTGTAAGGATCTTTGCGTAAGTCCTAATAAATTTTCAAACGTATCTCGTATGACCTAAGAAACTTTGAACTTTTTTAACAGATGTTGGTTTGGGGAAGTTGGCAACGGCAACTGGACGGTTTAATACTGGCTTTTATAACCACACGTCCCAAATACCAAATTTCCTTTAAGAAAATTCGTATTGCCCCATCGGCGTAACATACGATGTATATTTACCACTCTCTTCGTCTAGCTCTACACGAAGAAATCCATTCTTTAAATCCAGCGTTGTAAAAACGACGAGACAT